CCACATTGCTGCAATGGCAGCATTTCATTCTTCTTTATGGCTGAGTAGTATTATGCTGTGTGCATATACGCAGACTACTTTAATAATTCGTCTGTTGATGGACTCTTGGGTTGTTTCCATGTCTTGGCTATTGTAAACAGTGCTGCTATGAACATTAGGGTGCATGCATCTTTTTGAACTAGTGTTTTCAATTTTTCTGGATATACACCCAGGAGTGTAATTGCTGGGTCAAAGGATTGTTCTATTTTTAGTTTTTTTAAGGAACTTCCGTACTGTTTTCAGAGTGGCTGCACTAATTTACACTTCCATCCATAGTGTACCAGGGTTCCCTCTCTCTGCATCTTCACTAACATTTGTTTCTTGTAGACTTTTTGATGACAGCCATTCTGACAGATATGAGTTGATACCTCATAGTGGTTTTGATTTGCATTTCTTTAATAATTACTGATGTTGACTATCTTTTCATGTGCCTGTTAGTCATCTGTATGTCTTCTTTGGAAAAATGTCTATTCAGGTCCTCTGCCCATTTTTGTGATTGGGTTGTTTTCTTGATATTGAGTTGAATCAGCTGTTTACATATTTTGGATATTAACCCCTTGTTGGTCTTATCAATTACAAATATTTTCTCTCATCCAGTAGGTTGTTTTTTTCTGTTTTGCTGAAAATGAGCTCTGAAAAAGCTTTAAAGTTTAAATAAATCCCATTTGTTTATTTTTGCTTTTCTTTCTTTTATTTTAGGAGACAAATCCAAAAACATATTGCTACAATATACGTCAAGGAGTACTCTCCCTGTGTACTCTTCTAGGACTTTAATGATTTCAGGTCTTACATTTAGTTCTTCAATACATTGAGTTTATTGTTGTATATGGTGTGAGGAAATGTTCTAATCTCACTCTTTTGCAAGGAGCTTTCCAGTTTTCTCAGTACTACTTATTTAAGAAACTTTTCTCCATTGTATATTCTTGCCTCCTTTGTTGAAGATTAACTAACCATAAATATGTGGATTATTTCCAGTCTCTCGATTCTGTTTCATTGATCTGTGAGTCTGTTTCTGTGCCTGTACCATGCTTTTTGGGTTACTGTAGCTTTGCAGTATAGGTTGAAGTCAAGAAATGAAATCTCTCCAGCTTTGTTCTTTTCCTCAAGATTGCTTTGGCAATTCAGGGTCTTCTGCGGTTCCATATAAATTTTAGGGTTATTTGTTCTCATTCCGAGAAAAATGTTATAGGTATTTTGAAAGGGATTGCATTACATCTGTAGTTTGCTTTGGGCAGTACGGCCATGTTAAAAATAGTAATTCTTCTAATCCAAGAGGTTGGGATATCTTTCTTTGTGTCATCTTTAATTTCCTTTATCAATGTTTTATTGTTTTCAGAATATAAGTTTTTCACTTTCTTGGCAAAGTTTATTCCTTCGTATTTTATACTTTTTGAAGCAATTTTAAATGATTTTTTTTTTACTTTCTCTTTCTGATAGTTCATTGTTAGATATAGAAAAGCAACAGATTTCTGTACATTAATCTTGTATCCAGCCACTTTGCTGAATTCATTTATTAGTTCTAAGAGCTTTTTGGTGGAGATATTAGGTTTTTCTATATAAAATACCATGCCATTTGTAAATAGTGAGTTTTACCTCATTCCTTCCAATCTGGATGCTTTTTATTTCTTCTTCTTGTCTAACTTCTGTGCCTAGGACTTCCAATACTATGTTAAATAGAAGTGGCGAGAAGGGATATTCTTGTATTAGAATTTAGAGGAAACACTCTTTCTCTGTTGAGTATGATGTTAGCTGTGTGTTTTCTATAAATGATCTCTATTATGTTGAGATGTTCCATCTGTAACCATTTTTATGAGAGTTTTTTTTTATCATGAATGGATGTTGAGTTTTATCAAGTGCTTTTTCTACATCTGTCGAGATGATCACGTGATTTTTATCTTTCCTTCTGTTAATGTGGTGTATCACATCGAGAGAGAGGCTAATGTTGAAACATCCTTGCATCCCTGGAATAAATCCCCCCGATCATTCTTTGTATGATCCTTATTATATATCGTTGGATTCAGTTTGCTAATATATTGTTGAGGATTTTTGCATCTATGCTCATCAAAAATATCGGCCTGTAGTATTCTTTTTTTGTAGTGTCTTTGTCTGGTATCAGGTTTTGGTATCAGGGTAATGGTGGCCTCGTAGAATGAATTTGGGAGTGTTCCCTCCTCTTCAATTTTTTGAAATAGTTTGAGAAGGTAAGTATTAGCTCTTCTTTATATGTTTGGTAGAATTTCCCTGTGAGGCCATCTGGTCCTGGACTTTTGTTTGCTGGGAGGTTTTTTATTTTTTTATTTTTTTTATTGCAAATTCAGTTTCACTATCAGTGATCGGTCTGTTCAAATGGTCTGCTTCTTCTTGATTCAGTCTTGCCAGGTTGTATGTTTCTAGAAATTTGTTCATTTCTTATCAGTTGTCCAGTTTGTTGGTATATAATTATTTGTAGTACTCTCTCAGGATTTTTTTCTATCTTTGTGGTATTGGTTGTTATTTCTCCTCTTTCATTTCTTATTTTGTTTGTCTGGGTCCTCTCTTGGTGAGCCTGGCTATGATAAAAGTTTA